AGGGAGAAGTGTGGGTGGATTTGGCAGTTCGGGGAGATGATGAAGGGCTTTCACTGGGCACCATCCTGAGTGTTCTACATGGATTAACTTATTTAACCTTCTGAGGAGCCCAGTTTACATATGGGGAAACTGAGGCACAGGCATGTGTAAGTCACTTGCCGAGGTCTTGAGCTAGTAAGTAGCAAAATCAGGATTGGGCCCCAGGCAGCCAGTCTCCCAAGTCCATACTGTTTTGTATTCTTTTCTTTTCTTTTCTTTTCTTTTTTTAAAATATATTTATTTAAAGTCAAGTTAGTTAACATAAAGTTTCAGGAGTAGAACCCAGTGATTCATCACTTACATATAACACCCAGTACTCATCCTTAACAGGTGCCCTCCTTAACGCTCATCATCCATTTAGCCCATCCCCCACCGACCTCCCTTCCAGCAACCCTCAGTTTGTTCTCTATAGTTAAGAGTCTTTTATGGTCTGCCTCCTTCTCTGTTTTTATTTTTCCTTCCCTTCCCCTATGTTCATCTGTTTTGTTTCTTAAATTTCACACATGAGTGAAATCATATATTTGTCTGACTTATTTCGCTTAGCATAATACACTCTAGTTCCATCCACGTTGTTGCAAATGGCAAGATTTCACTCCTTTTGATGTCCGAGTAAAACTCCATTGTATATATAAACCACATCTTCTTTATCCATTCATCAGCTGTTGGATGTTTGGGCTCTTTCCATACTTTGGCTGTTGTTGATAGTGCTGCTATAAACATCGGGATGCGTGTGCTCCTTCAAATCAGCATTTTTGTAGCCTTTGGATAAATACCTAGTAGTGCAACTGCTGGGTTGTAGGCTAGTTCCATTTTTAATTTTTTGAGGAATTTCTGTTCTATTTTCCACAGTGGTTACACCAGTTTGCATTCCCACCAACAGTGCAAAGGGGTTCTTCTTTCTCTGCATCCTCGCCAACATCTATTGTTGCCTGAGTTGTTAATTTTAGCCATTCTGACAGGTGTGAGGTGATATCTCATCGTGGTTTTCATTTTCCGTACTCTTGCACTTGCTGTCATGGCTCAGGGCAGAACCCACAGACCAGTGAGCCTGGCTGGTCTCCTGTCCCCTCACAGTAGGATGTTGGTGCCAAACGAGCCCTGTCTGGGATTGGAAATTCTGACACTTTCTACCTCTTCTGGGTAGGGGCTCAGTGGTAGATGAAACATACTATTGAGTTTACTCTGCCAAAACCATCTGCCAACCTCTCTACTTCCTACTTTGTGCCATTTCCGTACTCACGAAGTCAGGGGTCAATGGACTCCCCATAGCTGTTTATGAAATAGAACAGAAATGGATCCCAGCCTCTCACTCTGGACTCCTCCCAAGAGTTGTAGGATGCTGCAGCCCTCAGGGAAAAGAGTCTGCAAATGTCAAACTCAACCACCCCCAGTCCTTTCTTCTTCCGTAGGTGGTATGCCAGAAAAATCCTTAATATCCGTGTGAAGCATATCCCTGGGCTTCTCTTGTGTGCACACAGGTTCCAAGCTGGCTCTTCAAATTCCCGTATAACCTTCATATTTCAAAATTCATCCTAGCTGTCCTGTAGTAATTAACAAAAATAAATATGTTGATTTAAATTAAAGAGAGGATCTCTTCAGGAAATGAGCTCCCCAAAGAGGCCCTACTGAGCCCGTGATGATACAGCTTCCTGTGGTTCTCTGTGTAGATGGGCTCTTATCACGTCTCTTATCTTTGCTGACTGGTTAAAATATAACTTTGCTGGGCACTGAGATGGTCTTTGAAACTGCCTCTATAAGTGTGGGACAGAGACTTGATGAATAGAGTTTTATCTAAGTTCAAATGAGCCTAATCTTGCCGCCCCCAAATCATCTCTGATTTAAACCCCTCTGGCTGATTAGCTGGTGCTCCAGAGGATGTAAATGGCTCTTTCCTCCCCATTCCCAAGGCTTCTCTAAAGACCGATGTTCTGAGAAAACGTCACAATTTATTAAAGTGGTTCTGGTCCTTTAAAGACCGGAGGGTCTTTTTGTTTGTTTATTTGGAGTTTCTTCGACATCTGAGGCAGCCTTTGGGCCAGCATGCGAGTATCAGTAGGAAATTAGGTCTGGGTCCCAATGGTGGTCTTAAGGACCCAGAGCACTTGGTCTGACCGGCCTCTAGACCCTCTGGGGCGGCTCTCAAGGTGGTCATGTGGGTGCCGGGACCCCAGCACCAGAGTGGCTTTCTTTGGAGGTGTATTTGAAATGTCTGGCACATCATCAGTGCTCACAACTGTCCACTGCTCTGATCATTCATTCATTCATTCATTTTTCAACAACTTTTGTGCAAATGTGTCCAGTGCACAGATTGTTAGGCATTCCAATAGGCAGAATGAAAGGTTTGAGATGGTAGTTAGATGAAGCTGGAAATACCCTCTAACATCCCCCCTTGGGGGTCTTGTGAACTCAGAGCACAAATTTGAAATAAAGTCAGAGGGATAGGGCAAGGTTGACGGGCTCCCGTGTGTCAGGACTTAATGTGTGATCATTACTATATGAATGTGCAACAGCTACGTGATCCCTACCACTGAGGCAATCTTCGGGAAAGGTCTGATGAGCACACAAGCCATGCAGGGTGGAAGGAAAAAGAGAAAACAAGGGCAAGAGAGAAAAGGAAGGAGGGAGAACAAGTGAGCTAATACAGCCTGGAATGCACATGTTGTGCTAACCAGGCGAGAGGCCAAGCTCAGTTAACCCTTTTGGAATGGGTAAGAGTACACCATGTTTAATAGAGGACTTACTCTTGTATAAGAGACAGGAGGACCAAGCAGGAACCAAAGGAGAAAAGGAAGCTGATGAATGGAGCCCCCTGTGAAGGGGTCGTGGGGAGAGGTGACAGGGCGTAGTAAGTCAGCCTTCTGTTTGGAAGTGTTTTCTCAGCTTCTGTTCCTTCCCTCTCACTCTCCACATGCCATTCCTAAATAATAATCCCTAATTTGGAAACGCTGTCCCATGGAGAGCCTGCTGGTTTCCTCTTGAGTAGACGTGAGCCCTATTAACCTTATTATGCAGCACCTGAGAAATCTTAGAACGGGGGCACTTAAGTCAAACAGTATCTGAAACATTCAGGAACTTTCTAGATAGTACCACAGAGAAGGGAGACATGGGAATTAATCATTTTTTTCCCAAGGAAAGAAAAACATTGAAGCCCTCAAAAATAGCCCGCAAAGACTAATTACTGGTAGCATCTTCCTAAGATCCTACTTTCCTATGAGGGTTAGTTTTGCTCTAGAAAGAAAAAAATTGGGGGCGCCTGGGTGGCTCAGTCGGTTAAGCATCCGACTTCAGCTCAGGTCATGATCTCACAGTTCATGGGTTCGAGCCCCGCGTCGGGCTCTGTGCTGACAGCTCAGAGCCTGGAACCTGCTTCGGATTCTCTCTGTCTGTCCCTCCTCTGCTTACGCTCTGTCTCTCTCTCTCAAAAATAAACAAACATTAAAAAAAATAAGAAGAAAAAAATTTTAATGTCACTTCACTAATAATGTTTACCTAACATCCGTGCAAAAGGAAGCAAAGAATTTGCCAGAAAATCTGGGAATCCATATCTACCTACAGGTACTCCCTTCCATTGCCCCAACATGGAAGTCCTGCCATAGCTACAAAAAAGCTAGAGAGTAATGCAGGGTCAGTGAAGCCCATTTGGCTCCATTTCATGCATTTCAATAAGCATTTCTGTGCCTGTCTTTACTGGGGACCTCATGAGTGTTGTCTGTAAAGGAGGTTGGAAACCTGGCCCATTCTCCCGGCTGGAGAGAGAGAGACAGGCACATTTGTGAATAAGTGGGAGAGAATGTGGGACAAACAACATAAGGTGTCTGCAGAACTTAATGGCTTCTCCCACCTGCCAGACTGGCCCTGCACAGAGGTGAGAGCTTCCACGCTCATGTCAACAGGTTGGAGCTTGGGAGGGTCTCAGGGCGCTTGGCTGAGCCAGGCAGGCATGGAGCAAGGAGGAGTAGCGGCCGGAAGTGACCTCACTTGCCAGCAGGAAGTGAGTGCGACAGACCCCAAGAAAGCTGTGGGCAAGGACAGACGTTGAGGGGTAACACTTCTGGGAATTCAGGTGTCAGGCCATGTGCTGGGTGCTTCTCAAGTATTCTTTCTTTCTTTTGCTTTAGCAGTGACTCTGGTTACAACAGAATTAGGGTGGCAACCCAAAGAGGGGGTGGGAAGGGCCACCTTGTAAAAGCAGATGCGGTATCCACGTGATTGCAATGAAAAAAAAATCAAACTGGAAAAAGAAACAATCTTCTCCATTGGTAGCGAATCCCGTCAGGTCGTCCAGGGAAGCAGGAGGGGAGTGTGGCTTCACATCACCCAGAAGCAGGGCTCTGCCCCAGCCTGGTGAGCACCCTTACCTTCCCTGCTTCGTAGATCAACTAAGCACAGGGAAGGGGACACCAGGCAGGGGGCACGGTTGCCCGAGTCCAGACAGTCGTCCAGCCAAGTTTCAGCCCTACAGCAGACTTCTGGCTCTGTCACTATTTAGTAGGTAGTTACTGGGGCGCATGGGTGGCTCAGTCGGTTGGGCGTCCGACTTCGGCTCAGTTTGTGGGTTCGAGCCCCATGCCGGGCTCTGTGTGACAGCTCAGAGCCCGGAGCCTGCTTCGGATTCTGTGTCACCCTCACTCGCTGCCCCTCCCCTGCTTGCACTCTGTGTCTCTCTCTCTCTCTCTCCCAAAAATGAATTACCGTTAAAAAAAAAAAAATTCAGTAGGTGGTTACTAGTGTTGAAGGTGCAAGTAACTGTGTCCTGCAGGGGAAGCACACAGATGGGTGCAAACACAAGTCCCTGATGCAGAAAGCTCAGAGCCTATGGGAAGATGGCCTCAAATCCCTGTGCGCAGGCACCAGCTCTCCCGAGGGGAGCGCCTTGCCATCTTTGTATGAACCCAGGTCCGCGCTCTCCAGGGGAGTCGGCTAACCAGTGCGTTCCCTCACCGCACGGCCCCATGTTTCAGGGCATGAACTACCTGGAAGACCGGCGCTTGGTGCACCGTGACCTGGCAGCCAGGAATGTCCTGGTGAAGACGCCACAGCATGTCAAGATCACAGATTTTGGGCTGGCCAAACTGCTTGGCGCCGAGGAGAAAGAATACCATGCGGAAGGAGGCAAAGTAAGAAGCTGGCTGGTAGACCAGCAAGCATTTTCTTGCCAGCAAACTGACCCATGTAGGGGACCTTCTCAGAAGTTCTGGGTGAGGTCACAGCAGCTGCCCTGACACCTGGATCGAGCCAGGGTCGTCTTCTGGCCACGCAGGCTGGAGGCGCTGCTTTGAGAACAGGATTTGCTGGGAGAGTGGGTATAGATGGTTCTATCACGTTCAGAGGCCAAAGCCACAACCGCGAGCCAGCTCTGTCTTCAGGTGACCGTTGGCCAGGGTTAGGTTTCAGCCTCCTCCTCCAGGATATAGCAACCTTCAGAGGAGCATCTGGGAAGTGTTACAGCCAATTTGGTGGCACACAGCTCTTGAGGACATCTTAGAAATATGGAAAATTCCCCATGCTGTTCTAGAGCTCCTGAGGGTCTCCATGACTCTTGTAGAGTTGGCTCCCTCCTCCCAGACAGGCTTAAGGATCCTCCGGGGGACTCTCTCCCAACACTGAGGGGTGCAGGTCCCCCAGGATTTCCAAAGCAGCTGTACCCCTCTTAAGCTTCATTCTGGCCTCTATGGCTCCAAGCAGCTTCAAACACCCCTAAACGTGAGGTGGCTAGGACCACAGTGCATGACCAGGGCCCCCAGCCCCCATCAGGTGCACCCAGTTCACCAGAAGAGCCCACAGACCAAAGGTCCTCAGCTGAGGCATTTATGAAACTGCATGTGGGGACCAACAGAATAGCCCTGTTTTCTACCAGGTATTAAACTTGCTCCTCCCGCTGGCGGGGGGAGCACTGCTCCTGGGGTACTGGGGTACAGTGGCCTGGCTCTCCCACATTTGTCACTTGTAATTTGTTCCAATGTGATCTGGTTTTTTTTCAACAGAGGGAAGCTAACAGTTTACCTTATTACTTTTTCTCTCATCCTTCCAAGGTGCCTATCAAGTGGATGGCTTTGGAATCAATTTTACACCGAATTTACACCCACCAAAGTGACGTCTGGAGCTATGGTGAGTCAAAATCTTGATGCTAATGAATGCGTACTGAAACTAAGCCGGCTTGGATCGTTTGTTGATTTACATTATATGCTCTGTCATCCAAATACTGTCTTTTGAGACCATGGCTGATAATAGTGTCCTCGTTGCTGTCTATTATACTAAGGACATGACAAAGGAAATTGAGTCTAACTACCACACTGCCTGTCACTGGAGATATCAGTGAACTAGTCAAGAGGGGGGAAAGGGAGGGAGAGAGAGAGCTTGGACTTAGGAAATGCCTGTACCTGCGACATCAAACCAAACTTGACCTCTTGCCATGGATTTGAAGTGAACCAAAAGCAGATGACAAATGGGGTTTCATGGGGAAGAGTTTCCGGGTAGAGAAATGAGGTCTTGTGACAGACGAACTCAGTGGCTGTTGCTTCCTGCAGTGAATGGTGGTCTGTGTGTATCAGAGAGAATGACTTGACAAGAGTGCACTGTGAGGATGTGTCTGTGGGGAAAAAAATAATAATAGTAGGCAAGGGAAATAGTTACTGCTTGTGGCTCTAGTGAGGACATCTCATCGGGACTGACTCTCTGTTTCCCCCTCCAAATCTCCCCATGGCCCTGCACAGGCCTGTGCCTCTCCTCTCAAACACTCCTTTCCCATTCTTGCCTCATTGCCTTTGTACAAAGGACATCCTGAGCCTACAAGGGCCTCACCATTTAAGAAAGTGTCACTAGCACATTTTCACTGACTGCTGTGCTAGGCACCCACACCTGTTTCACAGTCAGCCCTCACAAGTCCAGCAATCTGCTGGAAGGCTGCCAAACAGCTCATCTAATATATTTATCCATGAATTATCCGTCTATTTCCACTATTAAAGCAATGGGGGTGAAGGGGAGGGGCCACCCCCTCCGTAGAAATGGGTACTTGGGGAGAGAAATATTGAAACAAATTTCCAAGAGTAATTTAGTTATTATCACAAAACCAAATCATTCAGGATACCATCTGTTTAGTGGTTTTTTTTCATAGTACTATTGACTTCCTAATATTCTAAATGTGCTTTAATTTTATGGATCTTTGTCTTCTGCTGAGAATGCAAGCTTTACAAAGACAGAGATCTTTGTGGGTGAACAAGTGAATTTTTACACGTGCCTGTGAGCGGGGCTGCCTGCCATGAATGAACCAGATGAGGAAATAAAGCTCTTCTGATGCCTTGTTAGTTTAGTCATTTCCAAGATATGTCTACTCCCCAAGAGGGATAGGAGGAAATGCTTCTTTTCCTGATCCTGAATCCCGGCCAGAGGCATCCGCATTGTCACCTCCCTCCCTCAGTGACACCATAGCAAGAGTTGCCATGGGTCTTTTCTCTTCCTGTTCTACACACATTCATCTATTCTCCAGACAACAGGCAAAAACTATTTTTAAACTAAAGCAGGCTTTTACTTCTCTGAGTATCATCCTTCTTTGGTTTTCCATGTATGTTCCAAATAAGACCTGAGCCCCTAACCACGGTGGGTGAGATCACAATTACGACAGGTCTGGCTTGTCCAGGATCATGTGGCCGAGTTTCCATCCTTGCCACTGGCGTGAGCCAACTCACAGTCCGCGAGTTGATCCACATTTGTTGAATCGATGAACACTCTCTACAGTTCTGTGACTTAATACCTTTGAATGATTACCAGTATCAGAGACTCAGCATCACTATGGCGGTCATGTGGTTTTCATTTCGGCGGAAGATGTGCTGTCAGCCATTAGGATCGATCTGTTGTCCCTGGCAGTACGCTGGAATTGTTAAACCATAAGCCTGAAGTTTTAGTTTAGAAAACATATCCTGTTACCCCACTCTCTAGTCCCCATTCAAGACAAACTATTTTAATAAATTAAGAATGTATGTGTTATGCTTAGGAGTTGAAAAGAGAATTTGTGCCATGTTTCAGGCCCACTCAAACCTTGACTTCCCAGAGGAATTGTGCACATTTAAATTTTAATGTTGCTTTATTTTTGAGAGAGAGAGAGTAAGGCAGAGGGACAGAGCACGAGTGGGGGAGGAGCAGCGAGAGAGGGAGACACAGAATCCGAAGCCGGCTCCAGGCTCCGAGCTGTCAGCACAGAGCCCGACGCGGGGCTCGAACTCACAAACCGTGAGATCATGACCTGAGCCAAAGTCGGACACTTGGCCGACTGAGCCACCCAGGCATCCCTCGATGTGCATATTTAAACACAATGTCTAAACCTAGTTATAGGAGAATTCATTGACTTCATGGATCTGGAGATGAGATATTTTTTCATCCAGTCCATATTGACACTGGTGAGGAAGGACAGGAGAATCTACTTTCTTACCCCTGAACCATTACTTTACTCCATTTTTCACTCCTGCATGTTGCATATTCAGGTCATTCAGTTTGGTGATGGCCTCTGGATGATCCAAGCAGACCTGTGGTAACAGGTATCTAGAGGCCAGCTCTAAAGAAAGTCTGTCATCAGACCAATTGGATTATCAGGAAACTGCCAGGATCCTGTGTCTGTCCCTCTCCATGCAGTCGGGGACCTGGGCTCAGTCCCACCGGACTCCTCTCTTAGTCTCCCCAGTGCTCCTTCGCTGTCCAGGTTTCTAGAGCAGAGAATTCCATCAAGGGAGGAGGCACAGAGATGGAAGGATCGTCAGAACTCAGGGAGGGCCTGGAAAAACACCAATTCTAAAACTGCTTTGCTTTTTTTTTTTTTTTTTTAATCATGATGCTTGATTATTTTTTTGAAATAAAAGGTATGGTGTTTTTAGGTTTGTTAAAAAGATTATGGGGTTCTCTGTTTCCAGTTTTTATTATCATTTTAAAACGTGCAGTGTATATAACCCTGTCTGTAGGTCTCCATCTTCCGTAGATCCAAGTCGTTTAGGGGAGATGTCTGAGTGTGTGACTCCTGCTTCCTTGCATAATAACATGTATGTCATTACGGTGCTTGTGTTGTCATTGTTGCTGTTACTGAAGTTTACCATTTATTGGCCACTTACTATTCGCCTGGCCTTGTCTGAACATTTCCGTTGTGTTATCTCATTTGATCTGCACAACTGTCTTCTAAGACAGATGCTGTTATTATCCCACTTTACCCAAAGGTAAAATGAGTTTTCCAGCACTCAAGCTAATGGCCCAAAGCCACAGGAACATGGGTTTTTAAATGTTAGAAACATGTAAATGATGACTAAAGGCAAGGCCGTGTGATTATTATCGACTCGTAAAGCAACTCTTCATCCTCTCAGGAGTCACCGTTTGGGAGTTGATGACCTTTGGGTCTAAACCTTACGACGGAATCCCCGCAAGTGAGATCTCGACCATCCTGGAGAAAGGAGAGCGCCTCCCACAGCCACCCATATGCACCATCGATGTCTACATGATCATGGTCAAGTGTGAGTGACTGCTGTGGCCATCCACTCTTGCCTAGCTGGACCTTGGCACTCAGAGCCCCTTGTTGTGCCTGGAAAGGCATCACTGCCCTTAGCCAAAAAAATTGAGGCCTCTGATTCCCTGAGGAAATATTGTCACATCTTTACAGCTGGCACTCAAGTCCAGGAACATCTGTAAACACCCTCTTCCAACATTCTTCAGGAAGCACTTGCTTGACCTTTTGAGCACTGTGACCTGGCATGTGCCCATGTTTGGAAGCAAATAAATAAAATCAAATTCCTCCATAAGCCATTACACCGAAATATTCTAGTCTCTGAGTTGCTCAATGAAAAAGGCACTCTGCATTTTGAGGCCCGTTACCAGAGAGACAGAATGTTTTTAAATGCCTGACAATGAGTAAGCACATGAGGCTAACAGAGTCAACATTTGTGTCTTGACTTCAGCCTTTCAAATAATAGATCAACATGAGGTCTTGTGCAGTGTAGCAAGTACGCATTTTAATCTAAATAAGAGTGTGTAACTTGATTGATGCTGTTATTCCACGCGTTCAGCAGGCTCTGAAGGTAACGTTATACTGATGAAACAAGGGAGCACAGGGGGTATGACAGGGCCAAGTTGATGTAAATATTACTGCCTTTCTGAACTTCAGACCACAGAGGTAAGCTACTCTCACTTCCTCGCTTTGGGCCGGGGAAGCTGGGGCCCAGAGAGGTTACATGATTCCTCTAAGGTCACATAAGCAGTCTGTCCAAAAATAGCTTGACATCCTGCTGATAGAAAGTAAATGTGAACCCTCAAGAGACGCGAGGATTTCCAGCTGAGAACCGTTCCTCCAGCTTGTTTGATCCAGACTTAGATCGTTGTGTAATCAAATGTGCCAGTGAGGTTAACATGTGTCTTAAGGAAGACTCGGGAGCACCCCCCTCGCTTGCGTGCTTGGTTACTGAATATGTAAGACAATGAAAGCACCAGGATGGGAAGTTCCCAAACCCTGAGGCTGTTAAAGAAAGTCCCTAACTTTCTCTAAATTGAATCGAGTGTCCAGCTTGCAAGACTGCCAAGTGAATATAGACGAGCGTGGACGTCCAGGGAGGACTTTGCCGGAGAGCCTGCACGCCGGGGGCTGCCTACAGTCAGAGCAGTTCACAAATAGTGCGGCCCCCGATGCTGGGTCACTTGCGGTGAAAATGCCGGCACTCTGGCTCTAGGAAGAGTAGGCATAGAAAATTAGAGGATGCTCCTGTCATTCTGATTCAAGTGTACTGTGTCATCACGGTCTGTAAACTGTGACCAACGTTCGTCTGCCAAGACAGAAACGTCTATCACAGAGATTAGGTTTCTGCATCACTTATTTGCCTACAAAGAGGTCACCATAAATGCCCCCGTGAAGCAGTGCCATCTCTACCATTTCTTTCAGGGCCTGACTGTACTGTTTTCCTCATTCCTTCCCCAGGCTGGATGATAGATGCAGACAGTCGCCCGAAATTCCGTGAGTTGATCATTGAATTCTCCAAAATGGCCCGAGACCCCCAGCGCTACCTTGTCATCCAGGTACCAGATCACAGTCTGAACTTCCACTGGGAGAGGTCCCTCTGATGGGCGTCAAATGTCACCGTGTTGCATCGTGGGCCAGCTCGGCCTCCCTGTCTCCCAGGTCCCGTCCTTAAATCCTCAATGCATTTGCAGCAAGCCTTGAACTAAGAGGAGGGCATGTGTGGTGCCTCCAAGTTCATTTGCCATTCCCTTCTAAAGTCTAGAACCCAGACACACCCCCTCCCGTATGTCACCTTTACATTTCAGTTAGCCAGAGCCTTCGCGCGGTCTGATGGAGAAGCGGGGCTTGGTGTCAACCAATCTGGCTTCAGATCTCTGGCTCTCCACTTCCCACTTTAGGTTAAAACCAAACTCACGGGGCTGTTTTAATTGAGTCAGTGAAATAATGAATGCAGAACATATCTCATAGCACCCAAAGGTGCTGCTTAGCATTCCGGTGTGTGCTGGGGGGTGGGGGAGAGGGGGTCTCCACGCACCTCCAAGCAAGCAGTTCTCTGACACTAGCTGGGTGTCTCTCCCCAAATCTCCATGTGTGCACTGGCCTCGAAGCTCTCTGACCCTGGTCCCTGTGGGTTTATATGGAGTCTTCATTAAATAGGCATTGATGATTAAATTGCTGACCATGGGGACTGATGCAACCTCCAGCGCCTCCCCCATTCCAAGACATCAGGGGTGAGACGGATAGTTCCAGTCCTTGGGTGTGGTCCTAAAGCCACTCATTAATGTAGCAAAAGACACCTCTGCAGCTCTCATCACTTCGGAAATTCCTGGGGTCTAAGAGTTCTGTGTCCTGAGTAGGGATAAATTTCTTATTACAAATGACCACAGCACCTAACAGCATAGTAACACTCAATAAATGCTGCTGCTTTGCCCCTGTCTTCTTCCTCTTATGCTGTTTCTATTTTATTCAGGGTCTTTTATTTTATTTTATGTTTATTTATTTATTTTTGAGAGAGAGACAGAGAGAGACAGAGAGAGCGTGAGCATGCTTAAGCAGGGGAGGGGCAGAGAGAGGAAGAGAGAGAGAATCTCAAGCTGCCTCTGTGCCAACAGAGCAGAGCCCAATGCAAGGCTCGATCTCATGAACCGTGAGAGCATGACCTGAGCCAAAATCAAGAGTCAGACGCTTCACCAACTGGGACACCCACCCAGGCGCCCCTCGTCCAGGGCCTTTAAAACATCAAAGAACTTTTAGTGTCTTAATGTCAGTAGGGGAGGGAAGGAAGCGGCTAGACTTCAGAGAACCAGGGTGATTTTGTTATAACTAAATTGGCGAACAAATAGGCCTCCCTGTTTGTGACCACAGATCCCTCCTCTAGGCAGGAAGTGGACTAGCATCTCTCTGGGCCTCACTAACTATCTCACAATCTCTGCACCAGGGAGATGAGAGAATGCATCTGCCAAGCCCTACAGACTCCAATTTTTACCGCGCCCTGATGGACGAAGAAGACATGGAAGACGTCGTAGATGCCGATGAGTACCTCATCCCCCAGCAAGGCTTCTTCCACAGCCCCTCCACATCCCGGACCCCCCTCCTGAGTTCTCTGGTAGGAAACGTCATTCACTCTCAAGCTGTATCCACTGATTTGAATGACATGTTGAGAGAAAGTGAGAGAAAATGAGACCCATCTAGTGGAACATACATAGAGTCAAAGAAGTAAATTTCAACCCAATGGTCAAGCCAATGTCAGAATGAACCAGTTAAGTGTATGAATTCTCTTATTGCATTGCCTCTACTGGATCATAACCTTTTTAGGTCTACTAAGGATTAGAATTAAATCAGAATGAAGCCTAGTTTTCTAAAGCTAATGGGTCAAGACGAAATTAAGCACCTTTAGTTATATCCCCTCCATGAGACCCACCAGTCAGTGGAAATGGGAGAGAAGATGCAAGTGTACGATCAGCAATTTTTTGTTTACCTTTTGTTTGTTTGTTTGTTTACCTCTTTCAGAGTGCCACCAGCAACAATTCCACCGTGACTTGCATCGATAGAAATGGGGTATGTGTGAACACCTAATAAACCAGGATTAAACAACAGCTCTGGATCATGGCTCTCTTGGACATAGAAAATGCCTGTCTTAACCCAACTAATCTTGATTTTCCTTCCTGTATCTCCTTCCTTTCTTCCCTGGTTGGTTTCCCTGACCCCTACTCTGAGGCCAGTAATAGCTATCACTTATCACAGTGCTGTTCGGTATGTGGTTTGTGGACTTGGGGTAGCAGCATTACCTGGCAGTTTGTGAGAAATGAAAACTGTCGAGCCACCGGCCCAGACCTACTTACGTAGGAATGCTGGAGGCAGAGCCGAGCCATCTGTGTTTGAGCCGGCCTTCCAAGGGGTGCTCATGCCTGATCACATGAAGCCTTGATCCAGACCCATACTTACCAAGAGAGAAGCCGCCAGCCACACAAGTCTGCTTCAGTTTCAGTCGGCAACCACTGAAGAGCACAGATTATGGAACATTTCTGTTGTTGCCGAAATCCCTGCTTCACAGCACTGACCAGGTCCCTGCCACTTGCTCTGTGGTCTGTGAGCCAGCAGCACTGGCATCATCCGGGGGGTGGGGGGAGGCTTGCTGGAAATGCAGAATCTCAGGCCCTCTCTAGGGCCTGCTGAATCAGAATCTGCATTTTACAAAATCTCAGGTGATTTTTATACACATCGAAGTCTGAGCAGCACCGACTAATAACCTTGCCTTCTTCCCTCCCCTCAGAGCTGCCCCCTCAAGGAAGACAGCTTCTTGCAGCGGTACAGCTCAGACCCCACTGGCACCTTGACTGAGGACAACATGGATGACACTTTCCTCCCGGCACCTGGTGAGTGGCTAACGCTGAACACGGTCATAGGCTTCCCCAGGCAGCAGGGCCAGCCTCCGTCCCCTGGTGCCCAGAGGACATGCTTCCTTCAGGCTAATCCGGAGGTGGGGACTCTGGCAAATTCACAGACACAATGTAGACAGTGAGAGGCAGAGAAATACAAACCGACCGAGCACACGTGAGGGTCTTTGTATTGAGCTCAAGTCACGTCCAGGTTGGAGGTGTGCTTTTAGAATCAATCAGAAGACGTTCTAGAATTTGAAGCAGGCATTAAAGGCGTGTGTGTGCGTGTGTATGATTGTGTGTGTGCCAGTGAGTGTGTGAACACGTGTGACAGATTCGATCCTGGCTCCATTCTTGGCCCATGAAACATGTATTTTCCTAATCCGAGCTTTATCCCCAGACGTACCATACCTGTGTGCACACATGCGCCTCAAGGCGGGCCATCTTTTTCCAAACTTTAAATTGGCAAGAGACAGGTGTGCCAATTGCTTTGAGAAATACAGAAAGCAACGTAATTTACTTTGCAACAACAGCCAGAGAATCATCCTCCCAGCTGTCCCTACACTTGGTTGCCTCAGGGAAGAGTATTGATAGGGTTCAGATGGTACACAGGAATCCTGCTTGGGACGATGCTTTGCTGAGTACTTCACCTGCGATTTCTTTTCCATTTCAGAATACATAAACCAGGCTGTTCCCAAAAGGCCTGCGGGTTCCGTCCAGAACCCCGTCTATCACAATCAGCCTCTAAATCCAGCTCCTGGCAGAGACCCTCACTACCAAAATCCCCACAGCAATGCAGTGGACAACCCTGAGTATCTCAACACCCACCCCACTTGCGTCAACAGTGTGCTCGATGGCCCCACCCTCTGGGCCCAGAAAGGCAACCACCAGATTAGCCTGGACAACCCTGACTACCAGCAGGACTTCTTTCCCAAGGAAGCCAAGTCAAATGGCATCTTTAAGGGTCCTGCAGCTGAAAATGCAGACTACCTAAGGGTAGCACCGCCCAGCAGTGAATTTATTGGAGCATGACCACGGAGGATTGTGTTGGCCATCACAATCTCCAATGTTTCAGTCCCTGGGTCAAGCCACGGCAGCTACTCAGTGCTGATAGTCATGCCCACGTTAACTCTTGGACCCGTGGACTGGTTCAGCCATATTTGCTCCGATGGGACCCATCTTTCGTGCAGGAAGTTCCCCCTACTTGGATGCACTTTGGGGAAGTTTCTGGGACATTCCTTTGTCTTCGAACTGTGAGGCCTCCACAAAAAAGGCATCCAGCAAGAATATTGTCTGTTTGGGCAGAAGTTCACCTTGCCATGAGGTATATCTGATGAAACAAACTGTGTAAGGAGTTTTATTGCTTGGGGGCCCTTGGGGTTTTTAATTGTCATTGTTGATTTTGTTTATAATGGGCTTTTCCAATGAGGAAGAAGCTTGCTTGTAGCACTTGCTGCACTGAGTTGATCCAGGCCCAACTGTGACCAAGAAGCAAGGGTCAGCGTCTTCCAGCTAACATTTGCTTCCACTGACTCTGCTTCATGATTCTTCCATTGCAAGACAAAACTAGAAGTGCTCTATGTCCTGAGCGGGACTTATTGGTACTGTATCAAGTCATACCAGGTACGAGAGGATAAAGCCACTTTGAACCCTTCCTGACTGAAGAAGAAACGGAGGGGGGGGAACTCTTCTTCAGACTTCTTTTTATACAGGTTTCCTCATGGTACTTACTCTCCATTGGTTGTCCAGTGTTTTCTAGTTATAAGTATTAGACTTACTTGTTTATTTTCCATTCCATTGAAACTCAGTATGCTTTCCCTGTCAGTAGGAGGAGACAGTACATCAAACCATAACCAGCATCAGCTCGTATTTAGACCAATAGCCTTTAATCAAGATGGAACAATAATGCAAAAGTTCACACAAGAACATGGCTCTCAAATTTGAGTCTCAAAGGAAATACATCAAGTCCCTTAGGGGTCAAGGAGTGGCCATATATCGGGACACTGCTGAGGTACAGCCGCTCCTAAAACACTTTCAGCCTCCCACCACCAAATTAGGCTACTTATGGGAGATAATTTTCTTTTTATGTCACTTTAGAAGATTTTTACTCAAAGGGTACTTTTTTCCTTTCTGATGAGCTGCCCCAAAGCGCCCGCCTCGCTCTTCGGGAATGAAGGGATCCAGGCTCTGAGGCCCCTGTGCGGGAACGCATAGCCCTCGCCGCTGGGGGGCGCATTTTACAGGTGGAAATAAAGACAACATTATATATAGGGGAAGAAAGTGGTAAATATGAAATCAGAGTTTGAAATTGATGACAATGCCTTAACGACATCTACGGGTATTTTAGAAAAAAAAAATTCCCTCTTAAAACAATTTCCCAGTTATTGGAAGATCCAGATAATTTAGGACGTTAAGTGTTTTTCCAACCTGTGTTTCCCTGTAACCCGATCGGTTCACGGCAGTGCTTTGTATACAGTGTTTTAAACACTCTTAGTCAACATCCAGCTTATCAAGGGAAGAATGTTGCAGACAGTATTTCCAGCCTACGGATGTGTTCAGCCACACACACACACACACACACACACACACACACACAATTGTCCTTTTGCTATTAAATTATTGAATTATTGACTGTCAGGTCAGGGCCGCACAGCTTTGTTACCAAAATATTGATCTTGTCCCAATGGTATTCAATACTCTTAAGCAACTATCCCAGCCCAGCATAAGCACTAACGATAGAAAAATAAATAAAACATAATCCCGATTCCAAGAAATTCACAATTTGGCCGAGGGAATTGACTCATAAAGGCCAACCTTAAAGCAACATGATGGGATGGTAGGCAAGACAGGTCTGCCGAGCACAGACAGCACGGAACAGGGAATAGTGGATGGGCCCTGCCTGGGGGGACCTGGAAGGCTCTTCGGGGAGGGAGTGGTGGAGTTGGGTCAAAACAGGACCAGGGTCTTAGCCACAAGGGAAATGGGACGTGTGTTCCAAGCAGAGGAAAACTTGACCAAGAAAGCATCTGCCAGAGGAACCACTAATGAAAGTGGGAGAAAAGCCTGCCTTAGGTAGTCTTTACAAACTGTCCCTTTAAGCCTGGGAACTAGCCTGTAACATTTCCCAAGTGCCCTACATGTGGGTCCTTATGGGGATTTGAAAATGATGAGCAAAAAGATTAAACATCGTTCTAAGAATCTAACACTTTATGCCATTGTCAGTAAAGCACTTCTGTTATTTATTCACCTCAGAACATAAATATTTTGATAAGTTTCTCCAGCCCCAGGAAACAGAATGATGCACATTTTTGTCACCACTTATTTTTCAAGAAGCAAGGGACTAGTGAGGGAGAGCAACTGAATGTGAGTTCAACTGTAGCAGTTAAATCCTAGTATTTTTGTAATTTGCAATATTTTACTATAACATAATAAAACGGCAAAAACTATTCAAGCTTTTTCTTTTTTGTATTTCAGCTTTCCTGCATAAAATCTGGTTGCTAAATTCTCTTAATTGTAGGACTGTGTTTCCCAAAATGTCCTCACAATGGCTATCCAGGGAGGTGCAGAGGGGGCTTGTAGATGCTTCAGAACCTGAGAATGCAGAGCCCGAGTCAAGAGCCCCAGCCGTCACTGTGGGCAGATGAGGAGAGGGCTCCCCGCAGCACCAGTATTTCCATTTCATGGCCCTGATTGGCCAGGGTTCAAAGCTTCTACTCTGTCTCTTCAGTTCCTCCTTGTTGACACTGGGTTCAAAGACCCTGGAAAGAGCCTGTTCCTTCTCAGTCAGTTCCTGGAAATGTTCCCCTTGACCCCACCTTAGATTTGGTCTTTGGAAACAGTTCAGGGAAAAGTAGTTGTAAGTGAACGCTTACAATAGGCCAGCGTCCTCACACGTCTCGTATAAACTTTAAGGAGTCCCTGCCGTCATACTCTATGAAACACACTTTTGTCACCTCACAAAGTAAAAAAGATGAATCTTCCAAATTCTAGATTTGCTGAGTGCCAGTTGTCACTGGTTTTATAACCAGGAGCATTGTGGAGGCACCATATTGCGTTCCAGTTGATAACAAGGCTTAGGTATTTGTTGAAAGTGCTTAATCTGAAGGATTCTGACTTAGTTTGGCTCAGGTGCAGCCTGGGCCCATGGGCTTTTCAGAGCTTCCCCAGCTTATTCTGATGAGCACCAAAGTTTGGGGAAACACTGGTATAAAGGAAAGGCCTATGGGGAGGCCCGTCCCTCAGCTGGAGGCATCCCGCTGGCCTGTTGCACACTCTCCAGGCCTCAGGTTACACAAGCAGGGGTCAAGTTGCTGAGTTATGGTGACCCACAGATCTCACCCTTGCTGCCAAACAGAATCACCTGGTGAGCTTAAAAAGCAGGGGCAGGGTCCCTGCAGACCAATGAAGGGGACTCTCAGGGCTCCCCACGTGATCCTAATGGGCAGAGTTAAACCCTCACCTCTAAGGTGACCTGTAAGGTCGTCTATACCATGCCCCCAAGTCAGGGCCGAATAGAAAAGCCTGAGTCAGGTAAAGGAAGGTGGTGGAGTCCTTAATATTCCTGAGACTTGCCCACTCGTGACCGTTCCAAAGCCTCTAATTCTTCGTCACCGGCAGCTTACCCTGAAAGTGGCAAATACCCAAACCTGAGCCTCCAGAAAACCCCGGAACAGTTTGCGTTTTCTAAGAAGTTAGAAAAATCGTCTCTCTCACAGTGAGGCGCTCACCGCGTGACAGCTGGTAGAATTGCCCTCAACGTCTACTTTGCATTTCTCTTTTGATAAGTGAACGTTTTTATTACAACGTAACAATCTGTTTATATTTCCCTGCCCACGGGCTGTAAAACCTTACTGAAAAGAAATCCCTGCCTCTATTACCAGCCACACCTGCCGTATCAGGGGCATACATTTTTGTACTATGAAAGACACACTCACATAGGGTTTGTAAATGTTAATCTATTTTTGTAACTTTTTTTTGAGGAATAGTAGCCTCTCTTGTAGCACTGAACTTTGTAAGGTATGTTTTTAGAAAAACTCATTTTTCTACTAAAAGTTAGACTGAAATAGAATCAAAAGTCGAAACTGAAATCTTTGAAGGGATTTAATTAAAGCAATGGAACGCTCCTCTTTCTCGTAAAAAGGCACAGCCTCGTCGCAGAGCTAAGCTAGGTCATTGTCCTGATAAAGAGGAATCATGCCTTTTATATTTATAAAATGAGAAAAGGTAAAAAGCACATATGGTTTAGTCTTCCACTAAAGCAGGCTCTCTCCATGTTAGAGAAAAAGAATGACTTTGTTATTGCTAACACGGATCCAACTGCATGCTATGCTGTACTCAACTGCCAGCATGATCCTGTCGATGTAAAAAAAAAAAAGCAATAATATAGCACTTTGTTGGTTTATATACACTAATCTGACTTTGATACAAATTATTTTTATTTTTATATTTATAGCTGATATGCATTTACCAATAGACTAAACAGATCTGCAGAACCCTAATAATGTTCAGCATGTTTTGGTTACTCAGTACACTGATGAAGTCCATGTTTCCCAAGCCGCCTCATGACCTCACCTTCCCATTCCCGAAAAAGTGTTCTCAGCCCCTGGCTGCACAGTGAAATCCCTTGGGGAGCTTTTGAAACTAGTGAGGTCCAGCTGCACCCCAGACCAATTCAATACAAATCTTTATGGGTGAAATCCAGGCATCCGTGCCTTTGAAAGCTCCTAATGGTCATTCTGATGGACAGCCAAGGTTGAGAACCACCAACCTAGGTGCCTGGACAACTTAACACTTCAAGGACCTCAGTGCCAGTTGCTTCGGGGGAGGACAGGTTCCATGACAAGCTGCCCAAGCACTAGAAGGGAGAGGTTTAACCAGCTGATTGAAAAGGGAAGGAAATGTGGAACAGATAGGTTTTTCCATTCCCCCTATTAAAGGTGGACTGGTGGTATAATAAAGGTAGAGCGCATTCTCTGCTGGTCCAACCAACATGGCACCCATCATAAGCAGGTAACTTTTGTTTGCCCGGCTAAAATAAAACATTGACATATATGTTACATTATAAAGGGGAGACATTAAGAAGATTGTGTAAGTAGCTGGATGGCTTTTACAAAACAATAGTCCAAGAAAAGGATTCTTGCTTTAAGAAACACTTTTATATATTTTCCATAAATTGCATCTGGGGAAAAAAAACCTAAAGCAATTAGGATTTTCTCTTCCACGGTTAAAACTTTACAGCCACGTTACGC